GAGAGCAGACCAGTGTGCAGTTTGAGAAGGGGGCATTGGCTTCGGCAGGGTGGGGCCGCTCTGGCCCAGGGCTGGCGAGGTGGCGTGGGCGCATATGTCTACATGGGCAAATCACAGCTGTTCTGGGAGGGCTGTCTGGCCACATGTGCTGCACAGGCGGTCTAACACTGTCACACCAGCCCTATACCTAGTGCAGCTCAGGGGTGTGGTCTGCACAAGTGTAATCTGCACCTGTCCTTCTGTCTGCGGCCCCAAAGAAAGGGGAAGCATCCATGTCTACACACACGCTGCTTACGTCTGCACTAGACACATACAGAAATTCAACTCAAAATATCCATTGTAGGGTTGTAAATTGTGGGCCCCAAGGTATTTTGATTCGATTATGATTATTGAAGAAATGATTCAATGCATCATCAATTTTTAATTTGTATCACAATTCGATTGCTCACCCTCCTGTCCTGCTGCATCTCTGCTGCCTCCCTTGCTGCCGTGTCACCAGAAGCAGCACCATCACCTGCCTGCCCTCCGCATTAACACTTGAATCTTAAAATCTGAATTGTATAAATCTGGATTTTTTTTTCTTCATTTGATTTCCTCTGCCAGTCCCTGGAGGTTGGGCTCCCCCTTTGAGTCTGGTTCCTCCCAAAGTTTCTTCCTACTGAGGAGATTTTCCTTGCCACTGTCGCCTCTGGCTTGCTCACTGGGGGATTTGGGCAAGAATATTGTAAAGCGCTTTGAGACAATGTTATACTGTGAAAATGCATTATACAAATAAAATTGATCAGTTATTCTGATGACCTAAATTCAGTCCTTTTTAACCTAAGATATTACCATGACAACTTAATTACACACTATTTATGGAGTACAAAGAAAGTAAAATCACGGAATATTATTTTTTATTGTTATTATTAAACAGGGAAAGTGTAAATAGTCAAAAAGGCCAACTACAGTACTGAACTGTACAGAAAAAAAAACAAAAAGATTAAATGAAGCGCTACCTCATGGAGGTGAAGGGTGGGGCAACAGTGAAACTCACTGAGCTTGCTGGAGCAAATTTGCAGAATAACGCTGCATTGTTTTTGATTCTGTGGAAAACAAAAGATCAATCTGTGGGCCAGATTTAATAATTAATTATAAACGACATGGGCCAAGTGGTGAATGTGCAAAAGAAATCCCTCGCTGATGGTACAATGCAATCAGCGCCATTATTTTAGTAGGTATGCCTCTGGCTCTGGTGTCGCTACCTTGAGATACTGGTAAAGTTTAAATATCGGACAAGATCAACCCATCGGATCGATGCCAACATCTTGATTTTTTTTATACCGATGCAATATCATGCGTCTAACATTACTTTTCATTAGGCTTCATAGAACCTACCTCAGAGTCTTGATTATTGGTGCCGTAGTTAGCAAAAACTACTTTATTGTGGTAAAAATGAGAGTTGTTCACCAAAAGCATCACAGCTCAAAGATTATGAAAGACAGCGTTCTGCGCCGCAACACAGGCAAGTTTCCCCAAAGTGTCGTAGTGCAAATATCACCACTGTAGTGCTAAGATGATCAAGCAGTGTGTTCTTTATAAATATAAATGAACCTTCCCTGCCATCTTTTGTTTTGGAAAACTGCATGTTGGTGGTACTAATTTGTGCATCTACCTGCAGCATATTCATATAGAGAGTGCAACCTGGAAGGTTCTTTATTTTGCCCTAAAAAATTGATTCTAACGTTATATATAACAATGCAGTGAAATCACCGCCTTAATAATCGATTCATCACAATGCCTCAATGCATCTTTATGACCTTTATCCATTGTATAATTTATTTTGAAGAAAAGTCATTTCCAAAACCATATATAGAGTAATTGCATAAAGTGCATCAACCATTTTAGGCAGATCCCACTGAAGTTTTGGCTGTTTGTTAATGGAAACAGCTACAACTAATAGTAACACCAAACAATTACACTGCAAGCAATATTTCCTGCTTACAGGTACAACACACACACACAATGATGTAACTGATTACTTGCTAGTAACTTGAAAATGGTGCATGCATTATTAAATAATGTTTCAATTCACTCAGATGATATTTTTTTTCATACAGTAATTACTCCATATTTATCTGATGTCAGTTGTAAACACTAAAAACTAAAAAACAATTTAAAAAATAATCCCATCTTTCCCCCCACAAATTATGATCCTCTTGGCTGGGCAATTACTGGGAAAAATAATTAATTCTCAATTCATTTCCATGACTAAATAAGAAAGTAATTGTCATGAAATGCCTGAGAGTGTACCTCATCAATTAAGTAAACAAACAAACAGACTGCATAGTAGTGCTGTGTAAAATATTGACTAGATAAATGACAGCTAATTTGATTTCTGTCAGAGTAATGGATGACTTGTCTGATCAGCTTCCACTGCCCCCCCATGCTACCAGAGTGCCTTCCGGTCATGGCTCTCATTATATACTGGGGGGAAGAAAGCATCTTGATTTCATACCTAAAGGCTGCACATTTTCTTGCACGTGACAGACAGACTGTATTGCAGAGGATCACAAACCTCCTGAAATAATTACCCCCCTAGAAGCCTCAGGGCCACAACCACGCTTGAAGATCCTCCAGAAGAATAGCAAGATAGAGAGCCATGACACGGCAGCCCTTTCAGACGTGCCTGCGCTTCACCGTCCACGGGGACTAATGTAATAACATCTGCAGCCAAGACCCTTCCATAACATTAAAAGTGCCCACATTTAAGTGATGGTGACTTTCTATTTCGTTCATTAGACCAGATGGTGGTTTATTCTATAGAAATATCAACAATTAGGTAAAATCTATATATTCAATAGACAAGATGGCTTCTACACATATACTGTAAATCAGCCATTACACATATACGTAGGTTTAAGAGTGATATTTTATCATAATCACCCCCCCCCCACAAAAGCATTAATGACAGATTAAATGTCTGTTTCAGCGCAACACTAGCACTCATCCCCCATTTGTCACAGAAGCGTACAAGGCGGCAGGGACTCTGTGGCTTGACCATCTGCGGAGATATTCCTGTCCGCAAATCAGGCTGAAGCATGCCAGTTCCGCATGTAGCCGGGAAACAGCCTGGTCCCTCTGCCATTGGAGGCTGATGAGAGGCAAAGTTCACCAGTGCCCCTCTCTTACCATGCCGTGTCAATACTCAGGACCCTCTCAATGGTTATTCATCTTGCCTGAAAGAACACGCCTGCTAACTGACTACATCCCACTTGTATAAGCTGCGTACAGCATAGCAATTAAAGCCATTGCACTGGTTTCTCTTCCTTAACACTAATTAGACTTCCCCTTGTCATTATAGGTTTGAGACTGGATTCACTGGAAGGTTCACACATCTGGAAGCTGGCTTAGTCGCTAAGGTGCAAATCGGCAGGCTCAGAATGTTAACGGTCATGAATATCCCAGTGTCCCCAGAGGGTAATAGCCCTGTACAGAGTGAGAAAGGCTTGACACGCAAGTCAAGATCTACACAGTGTTGGGAATGCAGGAGAGGCAAAGGGCCATAGTTAGGATTGCAGTCTTAAAAAGCCATCTGGACGCTTCTCATTAAGAAGTGCCAAACAGCAAAAATCACTGTTGACACCTCACCTTCAAAGCACAATAATGAAAGAATCTGGGGCAATTTAAGGAAATTACCTTTTCTTTTACTTTATCATCTCCAAGCTAGTGGTCACTGACATTCGAGCCTCTAGAATAATCACGGACACATCCAGGGAAAGGTGCCAGTTCACCAGAGGACAACCACACAGCCATGCCATGTTTCAAATATCCAGTCTTTGGGCAGACATGCAAGCATAATGATGTCATTTCCACCAAGGTGGGGATGCTGGACAGTGCTGACAAATGACTACGCAGGGCCTCTGCCCTTCTTTAATCCAAGTGCCTTACCGGTAAGGTCGCAGGGACAGAACTTATGTCAACGTTATTAATATTTAAAAGGAAAGAACTCAGCAAGAAATCTTTTAATAAGATGCAATGTGCGCGTGCACCCACGTGCAAATGAAATTATGACCACTTACTATTTCTCTTTTCCTTTCATTTTCGTTGCCTCGTATCGAACTAATACAAATAGCAATGGTTTTGTTACGGAATTAACCACGAGACAAATGCTTAATCTTATGCAAACAATAGGTCCCCGCACGCAGGTGCCAGTTGGCGGACGGTGTCCTTCCTTTGCACTCGCGGCTTCCACATCGCAGTCAATTACATTTAACGAGATTAGTCTGCAACCTTTCTACCGTACTGGCGTCCAAATTATCCAGATTTTTCGGTCCATAACAAGGGACACACAATTCCTTTTTAGTTTAGTGACATTTATGAAAAAACAACTGCTAGTATTTAAGTCCACTTAAGTGGAAATCAAATAAGGCGTATTCCTTTTGAAAAAGAAATGTTCTGTCTAAAAACAACACCGTGATTCACATTACAGCACTATGGTATAATCGAATAATTGTCCGTATTAAACTGCTTTAAGTCCCCGCTTGTTTGGTTGCGCTGATCAAAGTAAAGGTTACATCTCAAGATATTTATAACCGAACAACGTGGGTCCTTTGGAACAATTGCAAATCATTCCAACCGCGACCTCTTTTTTGAGGTAGCTGGTTCTAGGTGTAAAATGAAATGACAGACGAGCTGTAAATATTGAGAATGAAAGCAGCACTACCCGAACCCACCTCTCAGGAGAAGGGGATGAAGAAATGGTTGGAGGAGGGATGTAGAGCAGAGCAGCGCTTATTGGTAGGCGGCAGAGCGACTCTCTCCATGGAGCGACTCAGAATAGATCGCATTACACCCTCGCAGGGTATCAGTTTGTTTTTGCGCTGGTGGAGTTCGCACTGCGAGAAGTTGGGAGAGTTCGCATCTTGGATTTTCTTGCGATACCCGAGGATATAAAACGACCATAATTTCTGTTCCGATGAGGTGAGTTACGTGCTGAGAAAATTGCATTGTTATAACCAAGGAGGAAAGCCGAAAGGGAAAAAGATTCCGCCTGACAGTGTTCAGTATTCTAATACAGTACAGCCGACTCATCTAGCGACTCTGTGAAGTACAAAAATAGCGCTGGATGAGCTATTTTTATGCACGCTATATCCAGGCATGTAGTACTTTCACTTGCAAAACATGTGAAATGCTTAAATTATGTAGTGAAACATCATGATTAATTGTAACTGATATAGCTCATGATACAAGAGTGCACACCTCTCCTGTGTGTTTTTCTCTCTGTTACTGGAGTGGTAAACTTATTTACGAAAAGGACGATAAAGTCAGTGGGATTGGGGCACAGTTACGCCGTAAGATCGGTCTTCAGCTTTAAAGATCAGAAAGCTTTAACGCGGGACCGGATAGATGGACAACTCAGGAGGAAATTTTTGTCTTTCTTGGCATCGGAATCAATGTTGAAGTTGACTTGTACTGGATAAAGACACAAGCGAAGAGACACCCGGGACAAAGGACTGATTCCCAAGATTTGTACGCGAAATTGAACGGATTCATAAAAATAGGAAATGCTGCGGAATAGCTGTGGACGAGCCGGTGTTAGATTTCATGAATGTTTGGAAACCTCCAGGTGGGTTCCTGCTGCTTTTGTTTTGTATTTCAATTGGACGTCCTGTACATGTAAGTCAATTTTAGTGATGCTTGGAAGCTGTATCGTTACTCGATATAGTGAACTATTTATAATTTTACGTGTATTATACAGTGTTTTTGCTTATAAATGATACCAAGTTTATTATCCTTCCCCTGTCTCGAATTATATGGTGTATAATTTCAAGCACAGGTATAAAATAAATTCTGTAATCTTATCTTTAGACATTACGCCATCGCAAATATCAACTCTCCCGGAGATATTTTAAACCGCATAATAACATAAGAAAATACAGTATAGCTATCGTGCGTTCTCGCTAAGTACTTACGGGCGTGTTAGGCTATTTCATATCTGAAATATTCATATCTGGGTGGCCATACCTAGTTTTTGTCAACTCAGCTCTCGCACATACATTTCACATGTGTGTTCGCTGGGAATATAATTACCTATATCTGAAAAAGCATATAATGGTGCTTTAAAAACGGTTTGATGCGCGTTTAAAGCAGTAGATGTCGGTCGAGTTTGCTATTGCATCACTCTTGGCCCGTACCCGACGTCTCGCAGGAGCAGCAGCTTCACTTTGCTAGTCGGATAATTGCCCTTTGTCACTTTCACAGCCACTCTTTCTGGTGCTTGCATTCTAAATATACAACAAGGTATTATCAGTGCTTACATTATGCGGTTTAAAATTTTAAGATAGTTGCGATTAAAATTAGTAGTCATTTTCTGTAGTATTTACGTGTACTTTTTCCTATTATGCACATAATGTTAATGCGTAACGAACCTTATTACACATTACCGACGACGCAGTACTTAGACTGATAACTGTTTGACAGCCATATTAGTAGTACGAAGGATACAGAGATCGTGTTCGTTTTTGTTAAAAACAGAATTGTTATTAAAAGCATGTACACAACGTGAGTTATGTTTTATTTATTGCAATTGTTAGTTTGCTCCGTCTTTTGTTAACCTGACAAGACTTGCATTTTTTACAGCACCGGAGCAAAGTTCCCCTCCGTATCTGAACGGTATCTGCAATCTTGCGGATAAGCGAGTCAGCCGAAGACGGCCGTAGTCGCTGGAGTGTTAACGCTGCAGCCGGCCGTTTTATTCATGCGGACAGTGCGCGGCAGTCGTCGGTAACTAAACTTAACACCCGGAACATGAAGTTTCTATCGTCCCGACCTGCCGGCGGAGGTTGTTGGCCGAGGGGGAGCCGGACATCACAGCTGCGGCGATGTGCTTTTGTGGATCATTAAAGTGCAAACTGCGCCTATAAAAGCCATAGCGCCGCGCCTCCTTCCGTACCTCGCATTCCTACGTCTACTGGAGGGCGTGATGCCGCCGGCGGCAGAGCCGCAGCCCTCCGTCTCTTTGAAAGAAAACAAACGCCGGTATAATCCGTACACAAATACTGCAAGATCACACGTTCTTACTATGCAAGCAGAGGAGTAGTGATGCTGCCACAATCTACAGAAGTTCACCCTAGTTGCAAACTGCGTCCCAGATTCTAACTCGTTGATAAATCTGTGTGGAATAAACGCCAACGCCTCAATTTTTGTATTGCATCACAAAACAGACCCTCAAACACTGTTTATCAGATTTCACGTTGCCATTTAGCAGTATAGCTGTGGGCAGTGTAGCGTGTTGTGACAAGGTATAAAATGTGCACGAGCGTTGGCTTGTTTTCTTATTGCAGTAGTTCACATAACACAGCCTTCAGAAGCCCTTTTGATGCAGGCGAAGGATTTAGGGCAACAAACCGGACAGTCTACAAAACCAGCAATTTCCATTAGGACTTTGAAGGCTCTATTGCTTTTCTCACCAACTCACGTGTCCCCCAATATCAGCTGAAAAATACCGTGAGCTCAGTATACGGAAACCCCTGTGATAATTACAGAACGGTTTGCATAGTTAGTGTGCGGGTATAATCTAAATGGAAATGTGTTGTATGATACTAGTTCCATCCCAGGATTTTCAGAGACTTTGGTACAGAGGGGGCAGAAAGACATATTGCTGTATGTGATAATACCATTTCTTTTGCTGTGTGGTGACTGGCAATATGAAAGAAATCCTTTAGATTACATTTTTCTCCATTTCTTTCTACAGACCCACCCTGAACCTATAAATCAAAGCCTTAATGTGTCATTAATAATGAATGCTGTATAAAATATCCCCTGGGGGGAAATGGATATACAGCAGGCAACACCTAACCTTTTAGGTATTGTGAATGTTTAAAAAAATGGTTTGGCTTCCTTTAAATCTGTAGCAACGGCTGTTGTGGCATCACTTCCTGTCCTCAGTGTGTTAAAACGTGGGTGTAAATAATTACAAAAAATACCCCGTAGATATACTTGTCTGAAAAACGTCAGACTTCCAAATTTGAATTAAAAATGGAGGGGGGGGGGATGGTCACCCAGGGGGGTGCAGTACCACTTCCAGCAGAATGACCCCTTTGACTTACTCATCCCAGAACGCTCGCTGTGGCATCCGGCACGATGAAAAGCGGTTAATGCTTCAGTTAGATCTATAATATTCCTCTCTGCTGTGCTTGCCGCCATAATCTGTCAAAACTCTAAATGGATCAGCAGTCAATGTCGCTCATAAGTGTGGAGCAGGTGTGCGTTGGGACTAATTGAAAAATTGTCAATGCTGATGCGTGGCTGTAGAGGGGGGAAGCTTTCATCAACAGTATGTCAGGGTTCTATCCGCTGCTCTGCTTCCCACTGGCTAATCCATTTCATGAGCTGTTTGTTGTCTCCCTGTAAATTGTTTATATCTATCCAGACTCTGCCCACATGAATAATTTGTTTGCCTCATAAATATTTTACTGTACAACATTCATTAATATGCATACGGTTAGTCTCCAGTTGCCGTTACCCTCAGAACATGGCAGAGCCCAACATGTCATGTTTGTTAACCCTTGCAGGCTGGATAGAGACACTCATGCTACAGAGGATCCTCTAGGTTTGTGATCAGCCCTTGTCCATTGCGGTGGTGTTGTCATCGCTGTTACTGCAGTGTAAGCCGTAATACACAAAGACCCTCAGGAGAGAGATGGGTTTTTAGGAAGGGTATTGGCAGATTAGATGATGTCGTGTATGCTGACGTGTATCTGTGCGTGTGCACGGTATTCACAGGGGGCCATGTCACCGACTCCCTCGATCTTCCAGGGTAGGACAGTACAGCTGTAACAATATATGTTTGCCAGCTCATGACACGGGAAACCTGGCATAAAATTAGAACCGCTCAACATGGCAAGTGAAACCAGTGCCCCGATTTGTGCTGCGTGTGGCAGATGGAACAGCTTTTAGAGGTGATCAGCAGGTCAGGCGAATATAGGCAAACATAGCACAGATGCTGAACACTCTGTGCTGCCTCTGTGTTTTGCAGGTAACGTCCGCATTTCTCCGAAACAGGAAGCATCCGCTCTCTGCGTCGACCATGAGCCCCAGCGGACTCCTCCTACTCTGTCTGGTGTCACTGATGACCTCATGCCTTTGGGCAATCAGCTTTCCTGAAGATGACATGCCCATTGACTCTATAGACTACCACTGTAAGTTCTCCCTGTAGGCCACAGGTACCCAAGCTGCTGTGCACCATTCTGCCCACATTACCAAGCTCAGAGAAATTTGTTGGAATTTTTGTGCCATTTGCTCGCTTTTCTCCATTTTGCTTTGTATATTGCTGCTCAAGTGAAAAGTCAGAATAAAACTATTTATAATTGGCCCCACCAGCTAAAAGTAACTAAGTATGGTTTATCAAAGCAGCAGATAAATTGATTTGGACTAATTTAATGTGTATTTGCACACATTTACAATAGCAGAATGTGAGTGTACAGGGAGTTACCAACATGGTCTTTGACATCAGGCGTCTTGAGAACAGTGGTGGGAGAAATCAGTCTCGTGAAGTCTATCCCTAAACTGATCCAAGGGGAACCAGTAAAGTAACCAATGGGAGGTCAGTTAAACTGGTTGATGACACCCATGAAAATAATGAAAATTATGTTTGTCATATATTCAAGTCAACTCCCCTAGTCTGTAATGTAATGTAGCCTGTAATGTTTTCATAAGCGACTATCACGGCGAATAATGCATCTGCTGATCTGTTTCACAGATTCAAGACAGTATCCAGTATTCCGAGGACGGCCCATTGGGAATGAATCTTTGCACAGGCTAGACTTTCAGTTGATGACAAAAATTCAAGACACACTTTTCATTGCTGGCAGGTAAATCTTTGAGAGACCTCTTAATTATATTGGGCTTTGGTACTTCTGTGCCATAATGTTTATGGCTATTATACAGCTGACAGTGCTTTAAGGCTGATACCCGTGTTCAAAACCATTAGTTCTTGGCAGATTTTTGTATTAAAAAGCCCTTTTTTACGCTTCGCCCTAAATTTGTCCTTTTTTCGACAGAGACCAGGTTTATTTAGTAAGTCTACGAGAGTCCTACAGGAATGAGATTATTCCCTATAGGGTAAGTGCAGACACTGCTACCTATTAACCCATATCTATGAAATTTCCAATTAAATCACAGAAATGATCCATAATGAGCTTGTGACTAGATTGGACATGCAGCAGAAACCAAGTAGTTTCCCCCCCCACCACACAGAAACTGACATGGCGGTCAGGCCAAGCAGACCGAGAAACCTGTGCTATGAAGGGCAAACACCGGGTAAGCTTCGCAGCCACTGACCCGCTCCGACTAGGCGGCGCTGAACCCGCTTTGCTCCCTATGACTTTATGATAGTCCCGCCATTCTTTTGTCTCTCTATTACCTCTCAGGACGAGTGCCATAATTTCATCAAAGTATTAGTTCCCCGAAACGAAGACCTAGTGTTCATCTGTGGCACAAATGGCTTTAACCCTATGTGCAGATACTACAGGGTAAGTCTGTGGCTCAGCCATAACATTGTAATTGCATATATGTGTGTGTGTGTGTGTGCGTTTGCATGCATGCGTGTGTGTATGTGTGTGTCATCGCCCTGCAAACTGGGGAACCCGCCGCTTAATCATGCTTCCTGCCTCTCTTTGTCCTTCAGCTAGACAACCTGGAGTTTGATGGCGAAGAAATCAGTGGCTTGGCAAGATGCCCATTTGATGCCAAGCAGACCAACGTTGCACTATTTGCTGGTATGAAAAGCCCACCAAATAATAAGTCAACATGATGAATGGCTCTTTCAAGGATCGTGGGGGTCTGGGATAAAAATGCTGGAGACTCTGTGAGGGGCCTGGCCCCCACCGCAGGCATTAATCATCATTTTATTACAATGATCAGAGCACAGCGGTGGCCATAGCAACCACAGCCCCATAGTGTCAAAGCTAGTAAATATGCAGTTGTTTTATCGTCTATTGAAGGCCTATTGTAGCAGACACAACTCAGTGTTCTACTTAAGTAATGGCACGACCTCTCCCACGTGTTGTCTTAGATGGGAAGTTATACTCGGCCACTGTGGCCGACTTCCTGGCCAGTGACGCAGTGATCTACCGCAGCATGGGGGACGGCTCGGCCCTCAGGACCATCAAGTATGACTCTAAGTGGTTAAAAGGTAAGGTGCTGCAGGGCAGACCGTGCTGAGCTGATCCTCTTACTCATTTTTGTCATTTATATCGCTAACAACCTCTGGATTGCGGCCCCTGAAAGCTTAGAAACATAATCGTACCTCAAAGTTGAAACTGTTTTACCTTGCAGGTTAATATTCCTTATGTGCATTTTCCTGTCTGAAACAAAGCTGAAACTAAACGCTGTTTTTCAGAACCACACTTCTTACACGCCGTAGACTATGGGCATTACGTTTACTTCTTCTTCAGAGAGATAGCGACAGAGCACAACAGCCTGGGAAAGGTACGTGTTGAATGTTGTGCGTAAAACGCCAAAACACATCAACCCTGTAGTGTCGTATAAAATTTATTATATGCCTCTAAAGTACAACTACAAACACAAGCTTTGTATGCCTACTTCAGCCTTTTTCACAACCCTCTGTTCAGTGATAACAGATTGTCCCCAAAAGGTATTAGTATGCACTCCACTTACTGCAGTTTGGTTGAATTTTACCAATAGATCACTGAGGAAATTGCCAGGTGGTTTTAAGCACTCTCTCTTAACCACAGACCAATAAATATTTAAGTCTAGCTAATGCTCTGAATAGTACCTGCATAGGGGTGGAGATTTGCTGTGTTGAATTATTAAACTTGTTGCACGCGGTTAATTTAAGGCCTTAAAGCCGTAGTATCTTCCTTCACTTTAACCCAGCTCGTTTAGCAAATTAGAGCACCAGTGTTTGATTAGTGAGTACTTAGCTCTGAGTTGTGGCACAAGCCAGTGACACAGCCCGGACTGGCTGCTAAGCATCTTCAAACCTTAAAGACCCAGTGATGTTGGTAGGATTGGCCTCTCTGCTTAATTGATTATTCCAAAGCTGGAAGATATTCTAATGATGCAGACTCCTGACAGGCCACCTCCACTGTCATTTTCCTCTGGCTTTGAAGGCGGTCTTCTCCCGCGTGGCGCGCATATGCAAGAATGACGTGGGTGGATCCCAGCGAGTTCTGGAGAAGCACTGGACCTCCTTCATGAAGGCCCGCCTGAATTGCTCTGTCCCGGGAGAATCTTTCTTCTACTTTGATGTCCTGCAGTCCATTACAGATATAATAGATATAAATGGGGTCCCCACGGTGGTTGGTGTCTTCACCACACAGCTGAACAGGTACCAGCACTGTGCATCCTACCTTTAAAATATGATATTCAGCACCTAATTGGTTCAGTAGAAATAATTTTAAAGCTTGTATGTATCCATCATTTGAATTTTCACTTTCTTTGTTTTATAAATGCAGTATCCCAGGATCAGCAGTTTGTGCGTTTTCCATGGCTGATATAGAGAAGGTCTTTCGGGGTAGATTTAAAGAGCAGAAGACGCCTGACTCAGTCTGGACAGCTTTTCCTGAGGAGAGACTACCAAAGCCACGGTAGATAAAACACTAATACGATACTGTTTGTTTGTGGTCTGGGCACTGAAACTCTCAGTTTAACCCCAGACTGCCCTTAGTAATCTGCTAACACCAAAGGCCCCAAGAACCTAAAAGTAAATGCATCCCTTCTTGTGCTCCCCTCAGGCCAGGCTGTTGTGCGGGACGAGGGCCGGCTGAAGCTTACAAATCCTCCATCGACTTTCCAGACGAAACTCTGCTTTTCATCAAATCCCATCCTTTGATGGATTCCGCTGTGCCGTCAGTCAGGGACGAGCCCTGGTTCACCAAAACCCGTGTCAGGTCAGTAAACCCCTCTGTTCCAGCAGGAAGACTGTGACACTAAATTTCTTGGAGTTAAAACATCATTTGGAAGAGCTAACAAAAGGCTGTTTGTAGGTACAGGATGACTGCTTTAGCAGTTGACAATTCTGCTGGGCCCCATCATAACTACACCGTGGTTTTTATCGGCTCCGAAGCTGGCATCCTCCTGAAGGTCCTGGCGAAGTCCTCCACATTCTCACTGAACAGCAGTGTGCTTCTGGAGGAGATTGATGTCTTCAACCGAGCAAAGTATGCTGGCACTTCCTGCACATCGTTGAAATGGTGTCAAGAATGGGCAACGCATGTGTCAGTACGTTTACATGCGCAGCTAAGTCAAGCTAAGGTTACAGCTCAACTACACCATTTAAATCGGACTACTGTCCTTGTCCCAGTATACATGCACGGGAGGGGAATCAATTTATTGACCGAAGTACGTCCGACTCCATGGTGATATGGCTGCTTTCAGCTTGTTAGTATTGGGCTTTTTCCAGTTGACCTATTACATCACAGATGTAAAAAAAATAATAATGGATGCATGGACCAATGAAGTGACACAAGCTTTAATTGCAATCTGGTCAGAAGATCAGATACAAGATCAGGACTGCAGAACAAGAAATAAAGTGTTTTGTATAATATACTATGGCAGCAAGGTATTGGAAAATTTTCAAATATTGCAATGTGATTTTGTTGTAATAAATATTGGGGCATTTATAAAGCAAAAAAAGGAGTTCAACATAAATTTTGCACAAACCCGTCTAGAAGTGATTTGAACAGCTAGGATGAAAATGATTGAATGTCTTGGAGAACGCATGCAGCACTCATGCAAAAGCTTGCTATGTTTTAGCGAGACTTAAACTCCCTGTGCTATAATTTCTGTACCAAACTGAATTTCAGTCGGACTAACACAATAATTAAAATTTTCTTAGTGTGCATGTAAACTGTGTGTTAGATACTGCTGAACAACATTTCCAGAAGACATTTTTCTAGAATATAACTGCTTAAAAGCCTGTTGATGGACATTTACACACAAGGTATCCTATAGGATGATTAATATCCCACCTTAGTCGCTCTCTTTACTCTCCCTTTGTCTAGGTGCCTATCAAACAGCGAGGATGATCGACGCATTCTCTCTCTGCATCTCGATAAAGAGAACCATGGCATCTTTGTGGCTTTCTCCAGCTGCGTCATCCGGCTGCCCCTTAGCCGCTGTGAACGCCACGGCTCATGTCATAAGTGAGTTCACTCAGCTTCATCGGAACTGATGCTGCTTTGCCGTGATAAGAGATTCCAAAACTCCCTCCTTCTAAAGTAACCGTAAGTTTTACTTGACTTTGCTGATTCAGGTCTTGTATCGCATCGCGGGACCCCTACTGTGCTTGGATGACTCATGGCTCCTGTGAGAAGATCCAGCCTGGTGGGCTGTAAGTTCCTTCTGGATTTATTCTGGAGACCTCGCTCCTTTCAACTGCCTAAAAACAGCTATATGAAGGTGCTGTTGCTTCATCACTGTGCCCAGTATTTGAAAGAGAACACATCTGTGATACAGTCCCCTAATATATTAATATCTTGTTTCCTCTAAGCAGCTCAGGTTATGAACAAGATGTGGAGTATGGCAATACAGCACAGCTGGGTGACTGTCACGGTGAGAGTCAAACCATGCTTTACCTTGCAGAGATGCCCTAGGAATTCCCTGAAACATTTTTATGCACCTAATTTACAACTAACATCATAGTAATTACTCATAACATGCCATGCAAAGCTATCAGCAGACTCACAAGGATGACCTATTTCAAGTAAATGGTTTCTAGTTAAAAAAAAATCCTTTTCTGGTGTACCCAACTGGCTTTGCAAAAGAATATGCTATGTGACGCATAATTACTTTTGAATATAAAATAAAAATGCTGTTGGGTTTTCAGGCGTTTAGTTTTGAGCTTTTTTTGATTACTTTATACTGATTTCTTGTTCCTTTAATTCTTTTAGAATTTTTGGCTACTACATCTTCGCCAGATTACAAATCATTTGGTGATCCAACATCTGGTTAGTTTTACTTTTTTCCCCAATTGATTTCTTTCCTTAAGTTGAGTCTGTTTCTGCCCTCTCCACTCCATCGTCAACCATTGGTCGGCCATCTCTTGGCCATCATAACTGTAGTGGCAGGTGGGCGAGCTGCCTCATTGCACACCAGGCGCGATACGGTCCATCTCTACTGACACCAGCAGCATTTCCACCCCCCTGTGTATATGCATCTTCTGCATGGCTTCCCATCCAGCTCTCTCTCTCCTTTCTGCACCTCATCGGCCCTTCTTGCACTGTGCACACATAGTCATTAATGAAGACAGACTTCCTAATCTTTTCTCTTGCTATTGACATGGTGTCTGGTACTGTTAGCAGAGGAGTGTAACATATTGGCTACCCAACTAACATATGTTGTTTTTAGGGGCAGTTAAATACTAGGTTGGTGCATACCAGGCCTGTGCAATAGCATATTTGGCTAGGTCACTGAAAATACTATAGTGACAAATTGTCCTAATAAAAATATGATTAGAATTGTGCTTATTTAAAAAAACGTGCCTTGTTCTAAGTGAACTAACCCACTGCTTACTGACCACAACAACTAAGTTGGCACTTAACGCTGCTCTTTGTCTACCGTGCACACACTGTTTTTTATGTTTTATTTTTTGCTTTTTTTTTTGTTGACCGTTTGTTTGTCACCACAGACATGGAGTTGGTTTCACCCTCAGTCACCTCTGTGGCATCTGACCCCATAGAATCACCTCAGATCATTGCCACTCAGAAACCTGAACTGTTTGGTTCAAGGAAATTCGTGCTTCGAGATGACCCAGCCACTTCACATTCTTTTGAATCATTACCAGGTGTCCTGCAGGGTAAGGCCTTTGCTGGGGGAGCTCTGCAGCTGAATGGAAATCCTGGAATAATAGCTGCCATTAGCAAACCCTTTGAAAGGGAGCCAGAATCCAGGACAGCACGCTACCCCATCTAAACCAGGGCCGGCTGGGGGTGAAGGATGCTGGAATATGTGCGATAGTCATGCAGCATTTACTAGACATTCGTTTGTAATTATGTGTAATACAAGGTGTTCTTTCACCAAGGAATGCTGGAGGATTCTAATCGAGTGCATCAAGAATTTTGTGATCCAGGATTTCCATCAGCTGATATGGCAGTGGTTTTGTTTTTGCAATTTTCTTTTCGTTTTGTATTTATGATTTATGTCTGCTGCTCCTGTTTTCTGTCCATGTTTTATGCGCATCACTCCAGAGTTACTTAATGGGAACTTTCCTTTCTTTGGCCTTCTTTCCCTCTCACTGCCGGTAGACGCCTCTAACCCACAGTTGTAGAAAATTCCCAAAGGCCTATGTTATACACTATACTCTGTTTTAGCTCTGAGGTCTGTGTAACACACTGCATTGTTAAATAACTCTTTGTGTCTGTGGAAACTAACAAATCTCAATTAGATAACGCTCAAGGTTTCTCCCCAGTTTTTGAACCCATTTCTAAAATGCAGTTTAAAAATCATGAAAACAGCTGTTTGGCAGGCTCTTGAACTTAACAGGGGTAAAATTGCTGTAGATTTTAAAAACTGCACGTCATTAAGAAAACTTATTTCCTCAAGTGGTGTGCAGTTATTTCACAATGGTATATGTATTCATGCAAGACTAGAATACGTCATGGAAAGAAAGTTCTAGTTTCTGGTTCACTGTTTTACTTATTCTAAATCTTTCTATGTAATTTGAAAACATATCCATGCAATCTGCATGTTACTAACTACTGCTATATTGTGTGCTCCTTCAAATACCACAGTGATCTGCTTATCCCTTTCAAAAGGTAATGGCAGTAACAGATCTGTATATTGTTTAGTTTTTCCCCCCACAGTTCATATGATTTGGATTTAGGTAGATAGTTAAACACCAGGAAAATGCAGATAGGACACTGGCCAGCCAAAACTTAGAGAAATCTCACAATAAACCATACGGCTCTAATTAGATTTAATCATTTAAATTCTGCTATTTCTTTTTCAGGTATATGGGAGATTCAGTCTGGGGAATCAAACCAAATGGTCCATATGAATGTGTTGATAACCTGTGTGTTCGCTGCCTTTCTGCTCGGGGCCTTCATAGCTGGAATGGTGGTGTACTGCTATCGGGACGCTTTCCTACGGAAGCCCAGGAGGGTCCACAAAGACGCAGAGTCTGCCCAGTCCTGCACGGACTCAGCAGGCAGCTTTGCGAAACTTAACGGGCTGTTTGATAGCCCTGTGAAGGAGTACCAGCAAAGTATCGACTCCCCTAAACTTTACACAAACCTCTTGAGTAACGGAAAAGATACGGCAACTGGCGACACAAAGACAATTATACTAAGTAGTCAGGGTCAACCCCCAGAACTGGCTGCCCTCCCGACCCCAGAATCTACACCCGTTCTTCAGCAGAAGGGCCTGCAGCCAACAAAAAATCAATGGGACAAGGCCCACTGCAAGATCAGCACACCTCGAAAAGACTCTGCAGCCAAAAGCCCCCAGTACTTCTCATCCAGCCCGCCCAGCCACTCAGCTATCGGGCAGGCCCACATTCCCAGTGCAGTTGTTCTTCCTAACGCCACCCACAGCTACCAGGTCCTTTTCACCGGTGCAGATGTGCCACACCCGGAGCGCAAAGTCCAACACGCCGAGCACGGTGCCAGCTCCAGGACCAGCCGGAAAGAGCACAGGCGCTCAGTGGATGCAAGGAACACCCTGAATGAACTCCTGAAGCACCTGAATGAAAATGAAGGCACTAACATGAAAGCAATTCTCGCAGACGTGCCCAAGTCTCGGCAGAACGCTGTGGATGCCATGAGTATGACGGAGATCCCTCCAAAAGTCCCCAGCAGAGAAGCATCTCTGTACTCGCCATCCTCATCCCTCCCCCGGAATAGTCCAACGAAACGGGTGGATGTGCCCACCACGCCAACCAGCCCACCGGGACAAATGAACACCTTAGAGAGACAGAGGGGTTACCATCGGAGCTCGTCACAGAGGCACTCTATATCAGCACCTCCAAAAAGCATGAACTCCAATGGAGCTGCTGTGTCACGGCAGTCCAGTATCAACAGGGGGGGTTATATGCCCCCCACACCTCCTTCCAGATTGGACTCGCATGCTGCAACGGTAGCGGCCCACCCTCAGCCCTCTGTGTCTAGACAGAGCAGCTACAATGGGCAGGGCTCTCTGCCCCAAATGGGGGTCAAAAGGACCCCATCTTTAAAACCAGACGTTCCTCCAAAGCCCAGTGGTTTTGTGCAACAGACTACACAGACGAGAGCTGTGCACAAATACAGCTACTGAGGACCACTAGACGATTCCTTGCATTCTAAAGAATGACGGATGTTATAATACGGACCTAAACAGGGTTGTCCTAATGTCGCTGGGACACCCAACCGACCTGGAGTATTTGAAAAGGGAATATTTTACCAGTGGCTGAGAAAGGTACTTTCCAGCAGTACTACTTGTTTTTGTTTTGTTGAACATCTCTTGAAACATACACCTTACGGCGTATTAGAGGTTTTCCTTAAGAGCTTCAGGACATGTATGGTCGTGGCATCTGTCACACCGCTGTGTCTGGGAGGAGAACACGCTGCATGGAGGAACCAGACCAATAGCTTCCTGCAGCTTCGCCATTCCCAGGTCGGAGATTCGCAACATGGATATACTTGAAGAATGGGTTCCATTACACTGCCACTGAGCACTGTCTTCCCATTAAAATGTGAACTTTGCTAAATGAGAAAAGACGTACGGCTTAGTCAAGTGCCCCAGGAGAAAAGGTGAAGATCTAATGTAATGCTGTACATAAAAGTATGACCTTGTCTTAGAGATGTACCTGTGGAGTACTGACAGATGCTGAATTTTGGACATAACTTAATGAGCAGATTCTTATCCACATTTTAAAGCACTCAGAAAATAAGAGGCACTTATGCTATTGGATGTGCAGTCAGTCAAAAAGGGAACAACTTGTAGCTGCCAGGCAAAGCTGCTGCCCAAGGTGTATTACAATAAACGCACTTGCTGCTATGTGTTTCAGACTAGGGAGCATTTCTCATGCTTATTTCTGACTTGTGTTGTTTGCTTTTTGGCTTTTCGAAGCAGTCTCTAAAGTGGAGGCTTTGATGCCAAATTAAATGAACGTTTATGCACCTTCCATCTTGGGTGTCCATGGTGGCCGGAGGAGCGGGCTAATGTAGCAAAATTAATGTGTCATCTTAGACACAAAGGCAGGTGATGATTCATTAGGGAACAACTATAGGAACATGTAGGATGGAAGGGTTTCTAGTAACCTGTTTGAACATTGCCTTTGAATTCATTAGTTATGAATTATGAGCACTGGTAACAATCCTTGAGGAGCATAACACTGTAGCTATGCATGCCAAGTTACAACTCTCCCCAAGTTTTCCCATTTCTCATGCAACACTGCAAAAAAAAGATAGGTCTCTAATCATTCAACTGCATTTTTTTTAATTTTATTTTTAATTTTATTTTTTTTACATACAAGTGTTCTATACACGATCAGAATGAACTGCTAACAATTACCCTGTGTAAGGTTATTGTGCAATCACAAAAAAAATAACCAACTTATCCTAAAGAGTCATGCCGGTAATGACCATTTTGTGCGTGTATAAATATATGTATATATAATATAAATATTTTTTGGCAAGTTTACCTGGATCTGTGCATTTTGTGCCTTATTCAATGAATAACCATGGATATTGGATTTCTCACGAAGATCAAAGGGTCTAGTATTCCTACTGGGTCTGTTTTGCCAGAGATGTGAGGTGTGTCAGGACCAGTCCAAACCCCATCCTGGAGTTATTAAAAACAGAAAAAAAACATTAATTGACAAACATTCCATTTCAGGACAAAAACCGGTTAGCCTAAAGATCTGCATACTATTTCACTAGTTTCCTCTGCTTTCAAAAATGTTTTTTTGTGTATTAAGTCTGTTCTTCAAGACAGTGCTAATTTGCAACACTAAAGTGCCATGCATTAAACATGTTATGATAACAGGATGGAAGATAGACTTGTTCCCAACTCACCCCAGGCTGTTAACCCTTAAATTTGCCATATATATTGGGAAATGTTCTTTCAAATTAAAATGTTTGCTTCAACTGATATTCAAGTTTCAGTTCAACTGCAAAAAATCAGTTTTGGTTCTCTAATACAAGAATAACGATCAAGTGAAAAATTTCAGAGAGATAACATGGCTGAAAAGGAATATTTCATTGATGTGTTGCAGGGATAAACAGACCAATTCCAACAGTGGAAATTATTCCACTTGGATACACATAACCTTAGCAGTTTTTTAAAGGAATGTTCAAACTTAAACAATGTTCCTAAAATTTCATTATGTTGTACTTCAAGAGAGATTGGTTTGTCTATATAAGCCCAAAGGTACATTTTGTTTACAACAAACGACTAATTAATAATTGCCTATTCTTTCAATTCAGCTATCACCATCTGCTGATCAGTTTTTGTACACAGTGAGTGCTGTACACGTATTCCATTCCCAGAACTTCTGTAATGTTGAGCTGCCTTGTATTTTGCAGTATGGATTCCATATGTTGCAGTTTGATTTCTCCAAACCTTTACATTTCATTCACAATGCCGCTTTTGTGTGCAGATAAACCAGTTGTCAGTTTAATTTCTAATACTGTCTAAATTGGCAGATGAGATAAAGTTGTATGTTTTGCAGAGTATTTTAATGTGTAGATATGTTGTAAACCTGTACTGTGAATGTGTAAATAATTATGTTCATTGATTTTTTTTTAACACAGCATGTATAGTTGAAATAAAACACTACTGCACATAATTTAATTCTGAAAGATTTTTAGTTAATGCATTACTTCTGGTTCCCTTTGTAGGTAGGAAATTATATATATATATATATATATATATATATGAGATGACACACTCAGTTGGACATTTCACCTATAAGTTTGTTGTTAAGGGCATGTTGTTATGAATCCACATTAAAGCTGGGAGATGCGTTTAAAGCCGAACTAAGAATTCACAGCAATGAAGTGCCAAGATACTGAAAAAAGATAAGCTGTCAGTTATTGGTTTTAGAAAGCTCTGACAATATGGTCATACACCGTATTTACAACGTGCTCCATTGGTGTGAACACACAAGTGTATTTCCTAGTAGTACTGACTCAGATCTGCTAGACTAATCAAGTGTAACAGCCAAGGGAACCATCTTTATCCTCACAGCCTCCACGCACATGAAGCTTCAAGACTCTTTCAGTCTTTTCCCTAAACACCGTCTGAGAAATCACGGTTAATGGAACAGTGGCAACCTTTGCAATATAGCAGTAATTTAGAGACATCTGCACCAGTCTCCCAGACCTTGCCCCCCCCAGCAGGGTCAGTGTGAGTTTCCCTGTCCTTCAAGTACAAACCAAGTCAATCAAGAAAGCTATTTCCTAGGGAGGGAAATGGGGACATAAAATGCCATAACAAGCATTTGAGGCAAATTGACTGCACAGCTAAAAATAGAGCATGAAAGCATCCAGCTAAACAAAAACAAAGATGCACATAATTATCAACGCAAAAGGCAAACCCATCTGCACTGCATCTTTCCAAATACGACGACGACACTGAAAATAACACACACCCCTCAGACGTCGATGGAGCACCACTCAGTTAAAAAAAACAAAAAAACAACATGAATTGGGAGTGTTTCACAGACCAAACCTTTATAGATAAGGCCAGGCTAACCTCTGAGGCTCCGACTGCATCTGGCCCATGTTCTCTGTTCGCCAGGGGCTTAACACTTGGCAGAGTTGTGATTTGGCATTTAGACAAGGACTAGAGGGTGGGGCCGAAGAAACACCCCACACACAGAACATACGGCGGCCATTCTGGCCAGTCAAGAATGAGAGTTCAGGAGGTTCTCAGCTCCTCCGCTTTGAGTCATTGTGCTGCCGTTAAGCCAGCCAATCCACGTTGTTAATTAGCCTCCAAACTCTGAATTCCACATCACTGCATTTTTCACTGTTCAGCATTAAAATAACACGCTTGTGATGCTGCAATCAATCACTATCCTCATGTTTAATTTATTTTAATGATATAAACAAACATGGCAGGTGGATAAACCACGAGTGGGCTTTAATAAGCATCTGCAGCTTGTTAAAATGCCATGCAGTTTTTAGAGACACTGATACCAAAGAGATTAATAGCATAATTTATGTGATCACCATGTATTGTTAAGACTCTATTCATTGTACAACTTTCTAAAGTCTGAACATACGCAACATGAATTAACACCCTTTATGAATTATAAGGATTCTGAGAAGAAAAATGTAAACGCAAATTCGGTCTAAATGAAAAAGTCTGCAATATATATATATATATATATATATATATAAAGACACATCAAAGTAAAATGAAGAACAAACACTCCGCTTGGCAATGTGCGCCAGCGTAAGAGAAAAGTAAACCCACACACCTCAGTCAGCTACCGATAAAGTGGAGGGCTCTCTCCTAAGAATAGCCGCCGCTCTGTTCAAGCCTGCCATGCCAAACCACCTTTGCCCCCCCCTCAATTGGTGGCTCCCTAGTGGCACAAGTGGCCCTTCATTTACTTTATCCAAGAGGTTTTGAGAAATCACACCTCGAGGTAACTAAGCCCCCGCCCCCCCTCGCCCCACTGGGCATTCACATGACCGCTGTCCATTGTGGATGCTTGTCACAGTGCCGTCATCTGATTCGCATGCAGGCTGCGAGGCCCAATGCCCTCATTCCCCCCGTCCCAACCGCCCCTCCATCAGATATATCAATACTGGGGGGGGGCAGAGCAAACAGTCCAAGCACTCAGTAGTCCTCCTGGTTTATTGTTTCACCATGATTGCTTTAAACACTGAAAAAGACGTTCTGTTTGCCCAAAAACAAGAGAGGTGAGAGAATGGATGTTCAGAGCTAAATAGCTTAAGGTTCATTTAAAGAAATTTCAAGTGGATTTCAAACAGAAGCAGCCCAAGCCACTGAATCATTCATTTAAATAAATAAAATAATGAAGTCAGAGTTACAAAAAAAATTAAGCTGGGGTGCAGAATGTATACTTCAGAGGAGCTGGTGGAGCAACATAGTGCTGTCACTCTCTGTACTATCCATTTCCTAATCTTTAAGTGACAAAGGTTAAAAAGATCACACTATACCTGCCAGGACTGTCTCTCCCAGCTCCATCTTACTTTGAAACCTCCTTAATGACTTTCTTCCTCGAGATTAAAAGGTAGCAATTATCTCGAAATTTGTGCTGCACAAGTTCTGTTCTGTCTGAAAGTACTTCGTATCTGAAACCTTTAATTACAATTTGACATGCTGATTATAAAATGGTGTCTGAGGAGAGCTTTGAAGAGAGCACTTGGACAGAACATGTTTTCAGCATTTCAGCTGTCAAGACTGTTCCAACAAAATGAGTTTAATATCCACTTGAAAGTGGGAAAAATGAAATAAAAATTAGCAAAATATTTTATTCTAGACATAAGAAGTAGAAGACTGATGTAAGAAAAAAAAATCTTTAACAAACAGCAGTGAAATCTCTGTGTCAAGTGACAATTTCTCTAAGCCTCTTATGGTATGACAGCAGGGAGTCTATCCTAAAACGTGTACCTTTACTAGCTTTATTCCACTTAACCACTTTAATACCTCCTAAACATTAGGATTCCATAGCTTGGAGAAGCATTTAGATTGCAAATCAGGACATAGTGGCAGTTAATATTTTCAATTTAATTGAAAACTTCAGCACAGTAAGGATTAAGGGTCTGTGAGAAAAAGATAATTAAGGTGCACAAAGTTATCCAAGGGGCCACTCTGTGCTGTTTTTCAAGTAGTAAAGACTAAACATAAAGACCAGAGAGTCTCCAAGCTATGCAACTATTTGAAAGCACGAAACTGTGGAATATCCATACGTGTAGTTTCCTCATACCCTTCAAAACCAAGGTACACCATACCACGGAATTAGAAAATCTTTTCAAACCTGGAGGCAGAGCAGAGAGAAAACTCAATTCAGTTTTGCAGATTTTGTTTAAATAACAATACAATATGCATTGCACATTTTTTTTCTATCGGTGTATTACAATCCAGTTTTCTGCCTTTGAAAGGGTCAAGTCATGAATCATCATGCTTTAAAAATGACTGCAGTATTGTAGATCATTATGAGCACAGAAATTAGTCAGTGTCTTGATTCTTATTTCTAGCACAGCTGATGTAGGATTCCCAGTCATCATTGCTACAGGATAGTTTTGACCATTCTGAACCCCTGTCCTAACACAGGGCCCCAGATGGTGACTAAAATGGTCGCCAGTCTGATAAGATTTTTTTATTCTGCAGCTAGTTTTTTTACCCATTCCAGTCACCAATGCTTTTCCATCACTAATAACAACCGGACTGTATCCATTTAAGGTACAAATGATAGAATTTATTTATGGACTAATATAGTATTGTAGTATAGTACAATACTATAGTATAGTATAGCAATTGACATGTCCAGTTAATGTGCTTTAAGCATTAAACTATAGGGGACAATGCACGTGTAACTTCCATATTATGCATTTTTATACCTATTAACACGATTCTATGTCTATTCCTGCTGAGGCCATGTGTGAGGCTGTGTCATTTATTCTTCTGTTATTATGTATAAGACAATGCAGAAGACAACATTAAGCAGGTCAGATAGGGGAAAGAATGTTGAGTGCATTTCTGAGAAGGAACAGGACACTGTCGTGGATAAAGCATAGCTCTCTAGGTTTCACTATATCCCATGAAACAAATTACATCCAATTGATGTCAGAGCAGGTATACAAACTGGGATTAGAGCCAAAATTCTGCCTGGGATGGATGTGCAGTTCATCAAAGACAGATATAACTGTTTTCCCAAATTTATGCCTGGAATGTGTGTTTGCTTTTTTCACTTCATACATTAATGTAAACACAGTATTTACAAATATTATATATGTGCATAAAATATTTGGAGACGCCTACTGAAGACTGTTGCAATCCAAACCAGGGTATAATCAAGAGTTAAAAAAGAAGTTCCTGACAAATGTCTACGTCAGACTAGGCCAATTCTTGTGTCTCTAACTCTACAAGGCCAACAAGAAGCTTATTGTTCCCAGCAGGCTAATTGCTACTTGTATATCCAGTACAAATCCCACAGGGACAGGCAATAGTTAAGAGTATAGACCCAAGAAGGGCTACATTGGGCACCCCTATGGCTAGAATACCCACATTCATCCAAGGAAATCACCCCAAATGAAAAACAAAACCAAGCAGCTTGCTATGCCCATCACTAACTGAGGCACAAGACACACCTTTCCCATCATCTGCCTTGGACAAAAGAGGTACTAGAGGAGAGGGCACTCATTCGTCACTTGTGACAGAGTGGGCATGTTGCTCTTGCAGAAATTCTATTGCGTCTTTATTGCCTTTATAACATTTATTTTCTTCAAAAAGAGTCCTATGCACAGGCCTCGGGGGCGTACAAATCGCAATGTTTGCTTCATTCCTCACCTTAAGAGCTATATCCCTACATCAACCTGCAAAATCATCTGGGACTCTAAACCAGGTGCTGGCATTTTAGATCTTTGCTGCACACACACATTTTCCATGAAGAAATACCACACACCCTCAATGACACAAACACATAACAGGGCTGTGGAGTCGGTAGATAAATGCTCCGACTCCGACTCCGACGACTCAGTTTCTAAATCTTCCGACTCCGACTCCTCTGTATGTATATACTATGCTAATGTATTTTCTACATCCATTGAAGGAAAGGAAGGCAACATACATGTCATTTCACCACAGAAC